CGCTGGCATCGCTTATCCTGGATCTTGGAATTTATTCTAGATGCGTTTGAAGTAAAAAAAGAATTCAGGGAAGGTCTTAAGATATTATCTCATCGCATGCTACTTATTATTTTTTTGTTTTCATTTTTTTTTATGTTACTATAAGGTACGATTTTTTATTAAAAAAAAGGAAAAAAATGAAATTGCCTTGATTTTTGTACTACATCGGTGTCTTGTCATACTCGGCTTTTTCTACTGAATCCTTCAATCACAAGAGAAAAAAAAGTACTATACATAGGACTATCATATTTGCGAGTACCTAAAGCACAATTTTTACTTTTCAGAACGGCAAGTACATAACGTAAAAATGTCACTACTTACGTATTTTTGAGCTTAGTTTGATTTTTTAAGTCGTTACTTCTCATGTTTCTAATCAGGGTGACCAGGAGTTGTCCAACTAATGCCTCGACTGGCAGCATGTTTGTGTAGTCACCAAATATATCGCCAAAACTATGTACTGATTAGCAAATACTATCATGTATAAAAAGAATACGATGATTTTGACTAAGGTGGTGCATTATATCTGCGATTATACTGCGAAAAATATAACATTGGAATATCTAATATGAGTGTTCAACGAGCGTATAATATTGTAAAAATTCAGATATCGTAAGTGCATTTACCCCTGATGAAAGCAAACGCATTATGATTAAAAAAAAAGTCTTCGCAAAAAAAATCAATATTTGTATCAAATAATGAATGAAGCTATAAGAGCTACAACTCAAGTAATATGAAACGAAAATTTTTTAACAGCAATCAGTATACGATTTTTATGAAAAGGCAAATAGCTGCATAATAATTTTATAACCATTCACCAATCGGTATATTTTTATACATCTAATAAAGAATGTCCAATTAGTAACTGTCTTTTTTTAAACACTTACATTTTTTAATTAAACACAAGTTTAAAGTTTTTAATTAACGACTTGATGAAAACAGAATTATTTTTTTCTACACTCCATCATCAATGACTAACTTACAAAATATCCAAATTTTTTAAATATCTACATAGATATATCTAATTTATTATTGATACATGTCATTTCGAAATTTTTACGTATCACAAGATGGTAATTGTTCAAGTTCGAACATTTACCTCATAAACTATGAAGATTGAATTCTCAAGCGAAGAAGTGTTTTAAAAATAACGTAAAATTTTCATGAAATTTAAATATTCTTTGCGTGTTAATAATAACCACGTCTTTTATCAACCACACGCATAAAACATCAAATGTAACAATATTAATATAAAAATATTTTTGGCTACTTTTAAATTTTTCCATAACATAAAAAACAACCATATTAATTAACAGTGCCAATTTTAAATGTTAATAGTTACCAAGAAATAAGTTTATTAATTAAAGTTTTGAAATAATGCTGGCAAAAAATGTTTCCTTTAACGAAAAATCAACCAAGCTCAACGGTATAGGTATGATAACGAAGCTACACAAAAAATGTCAGTCTTATATGATGTTAGCTTTTAAAGTTGATTGAAATACTTAATTTTGTACAGTAGAGAGTACATCACATTCATCACTCAAATCTCACTCACTTAGGACGAAGAATTTTCTTTTAATTTACTAACCAGTAATGTAAAGTAACACTTTTTGTACTGGTGAAAACATATGGTACTTTTGGAATTAGTAATATTGTGCTAAGAAAAATACGTAAAAACAAAACTCTTTGTTCAACTGTTCCGCTATTATCTTCAGAACTCATCGCCCTATACAAACCTACATGCTTGTGTACTTACAACATCCTCCAAACTCATAATTACACCCCCACTCCTCCTCCTCCTCGTCCTCTTGCGAAGAACTAAATTATTCATCACGTGACACATGAAGCTTCTTAACTTCGTCCCAGCTTGCGTCAGCTTCGCGGACGCGTGGGTGACGTGGAAACTACGCGCAGGATCGGAAAAACTTTGTTTCCCGTCAACAGCACAAGGGGAAGGATGACAGTTGCCTTTTTTCCTCTTCCTCCCTCCCTCTTGTGTGTACTACGATCCAACAGAGGCAAAGTTTCGGAATCATATGGATGATGTTTCAGAAACTCCAAAATGAATCGCCTGTCTCGTAAACTAGGCTTCTTGTGTTCATAGTGACCATTTTTTCTGGTAGTTTGAATGATGATTTTTGGTACCCCGCCCCCATATAATAATTAATAATTTTGATATCATAATCCCTTATACTCGATGCATTTGCAACATTTTTTTGTTTATTTTGTTTTATTTTTTTTATTCAAAACCGATATTACAGTTGATACTTGCTATTTTGATCCAAACGTGTTAAGATTGTACGTTTAAAGTGCATAGTTAAAATTGCAGTGCAATCTGCGTAGTGGGTCAAACCGTAATTGGTAATTGAGCAACAGTAATTATACACTTTCAACAGTCATAAGCGAAGGATAACAATATGACAATGTAATAACAAGCAACTGAAATTATTTTAATTATTGCTATTGTCATTAACGAAAATAGCATTGATAAGAGTACGTCATTACGAGTACATAAAATATTTTAATTTAAATGTTATAGTGATTTGGATCGAATAATTTTTATTCTTTTTTTAGAACTTAATTACACGTGATTATATCTGTAGTATCATACTGTTTACAATTTTTAAAAATATTTTTAGTAAAGTAATTAAAACGTTGTTCTCTGAATCTCACCGATAGAAAGAAAGTTTAAATTTGAGAATAAACACCTTACATAATTAATGTACCTTCCCTAAGGTGTTGATTAATAGTCTACATCAATTGTTTATCAACTGTTTTTTTAGCTCTAATAAACAAAGCAGTTTTTCTGTAAAATCTGTACAGTAAGTGTAGTGCAAAACATTTCCATCCAGATTTATAACTCTTTGTGGAATCTGTGACAAAATGTGTTATTACATAAAAACAAAAATTATTGTACATAGAATGTAGTTTCATCCGTAACTAAACACAGCGAGTTTTAAGTAGAAGAACCAGAAACCCTTTACTAAAATTTCATTAAAGTCCGTTTCCTGGTAACTTCCATGAATAGGTAAAATCTTTATTTCGAAAATATCGAAAAACAACGATTGCCACAAACACACTGAATATTTTAACCATACCGCGTCTCTTTTACGATCTACTATTCCATATTCAGGTCATATGGAAATCGTAATGACTCAACCTTTAGGGTCAATTTAGCTACCCGTGTCCTTTGACCATCGCACATGTTACAAAGTCGTTCGTGCGACCTAATGTAAATTATTGTAATATTACACTTTGACAACCACAACCTTGACAGGAGCGTGTAATTAAACTCTCAAAACACTGTAACTGTGCCTATACGAACACGACCACCTACGAACTAGGTAATTAAAAAAAAAAAAAAAAAAAAAAACTAACCCTGAAGTTTTCTTTCACCGACAACGACGACGTCACGTTTTGTCACATATTCTCTCGTACTATTTATAATTAGATGTATCGAATTGCAAAAACACCGAAGATCAATGCTGATGTATATACCAATCAAACTAATCGCACCGATTACGGCCGATGGAGCCAATTTTGTTATTCCATCGTCCGGCAACAACTACATAATGCAGCCTACCGCGAACACCCATGCACACACACGCGCATCTATTTCGAGATCTCGAGATTTATAAGAGCAATAATAAAAGCTATATTCGTATCAGGCACGCGAGTAAACAAAGTATAATACGAGCGGGGTGTAAAAATAATATCCGCCCACGCGTTGGCTAGGGAAAGACGGGGCTTGAATGGAAGCACCCGAGAGGCGCTTGCGCGCGTTTGTCAAAAAAAAAAAAAAAAAGGAGAGACGGGGACGCGCCTGCATGTAGGTATATATACATCCATTGGCAAAACAACGGCGACAGCTATCAAGGCTCGCCCTATACGTACACGCGAGTGAAAAACGTGCAATCAGGAATTTCAATCGGCTGAGTGGGAGCGCGTGTATATTACAGGAGGGGCTGTGAGTGTGTCTCTGCGGGTGGAATCTGCCTTATTAGGTAATTGAACGTCTAAGCTTTTCCCGTTTTATTTACCGACTCCCCGCGCGTATACACTTTAACGCGTATCATCGGAAGTGCTTGATCTTGTTTCTTCTGGTTGTTAGAGGGAATTGGAGAGATAAAGGCCCGGTATAGGTGCGCCTGAAAGAGAAAAACCACTCGAGACTTTTTGGTTTGGCGATACACTCTTTGAGCTTTTTCTTTAGCCGTACCGTTGAGTGGTATGTAATACACTGTGTTGATGATGCTGCGATAATTTTTATGGACTTTAGCGAGGAGAAGGTTGTCTTGCTCAAAGAAGACTTCTATCCTCAAATGAGTTCCCTTCACATTCGTTTAATGTCCGTATGCATGTATGCAACGAACTTTTGGTGACGCTTGGTATTTCAAGATCACACGTAGCGTTTGAAAGAGCATCAATATTTCAAACAGTATTGCGCAAACATGCAAGCATTATTTTACTTCGATAGTTTTAGGACTCGTGTCGTATGAGTTATTGATAGTTTTAAGGCAAAAATGATAGACAAATTGTGATGTAGAAATACTTTTCTGTTCTTATCTAAAAGGAAAACATATTTCGTTACGGTAAGACATTAAAGCAATATCGTACGAATATTACGAAATCGACAATGGCAGACGTATCCAACCAGTGGAAATACAATTGTATTCATACAAAATTACATGAATAGTATATGAAGACATAAAATAGTATTGTCGAACGACCAGAAACATCACTATCATGGTATGATACATCAGCTACTTATAAACTATAAAGACATAATAAATAAATTGTTTTTACGCGAATAATACAACAGTATGAGGAAAAACTGGTTAAATACAAACTTAAAGTATTGTGGAAATTTTATTATACCATATAAAATTACAAGTTTTTCTTTTTTCTACCGTAAGCACTTGATTAATCTATGCAGTAAATGGAGGCCCCTCGGTCGCCCCTACGTGATGGTAATGCCCGATCCTACATGAGTCACTAAACTAGTTCCATATCTTTGTAAGCCTTCACTGACCTTTTCCTTCTCCATCAAAGTTCCACCTTCATATCCACACATTACCGATTAGCACCTCTCAAAGGCTCATCAAGTCATCATCCAGTATCAGGCTCCCTGGAGAAGGTCCCGTTGATTTACAAATTCTTACGTATGCTTTACCTATGTATCATTGTTGCACAAACGGTTATCAAGCTTTAGGTCTAAGAGTTACAACTGCAGTCAAAGTCTTGAGTTGTAAAGCTACAATACAAACTAGTAAATTCATGTATTGATTAAGATCTTTGTTTTGATGGTTCATTTACAATAGGTAATAATACTAAAATTAAAACCGTTAACGAAGAATAAGCAGAATATAAAGTAATTTTCAACTCGTATTACATTGTTTAACAAGATTGACTTATGTCCAATGTCTATATGGTAAACCATGTATGGTAAAGCCCCACAAGCACAATGACGACGATGGTATAAGTTTTAACTCATTCGACTTTAAAAAAAGTTACGTTTGAAGGTACTGGAAAATGAGGGTAGCACTGAACTTTTATCTGGCGGATTGTCTGCGTGAGTTGATTCGTGTGTCATGAGGTAAGTTTGCGGGGCAAAACTTTCCGAACACAGTTCGCAGCCATGAGACTCGTGTGTTTGTCCCTGCCTCACAAGATTCCATTTTTGGGAAAAAGTGTTGGAACACAGTTCGCAGCCGTGTGGCTTATTACCTGCGTGAGTCAGCTGATGCCTCGCCAGGTTGGATTTTTTGACAAAACTTTTTGGGCAGTGCTTGCAGAAGTAGGGCTTTTCACTCTGGTGTGTCCATTCGTGCAGTGCAAGACTAAATTTCCGAGTGAAACTTTTCGAGCATACTCGGCAGCTGTAAGGCTTATTACCCGTGTGATTCAGCTCGTGCGTCGTAAGATGGATTTTTTGAATGAAACTTTTCGAGCAGTGTTTGCAAGAGTATGGCTTCTCACTCTTGTGTGTCCATTCGTGTGTTTCAAGTCTCTGCTTATTGGTGAAACTTTTTAAACATACTTGGCAGATGTGAGGCTTTTCACTCTTGTGTATCCATTCGTGCACATTAAGATTGTTTTTTTGAGTAAAACTTTTTGAGCAGTGCTTGCAAGAGTAGGGCTTTTCATTCAAGTGTATCCGTGTGTGCACTTTAAGACTGGATTTACGAGCAAAACTTTTCAAACACACTTGGCAGATGTTAGGCTTATTACTATCGTTGTGAGTCTGTTCGTGCACTATTGGATTGGATTTTTGGGTACAACTTTCAATACAACCCAGTTTGTTATCGTGAAGCTTCTCGCGGACATGGACTCGTTCATGCTCTACAAGGTAGAGGTTTTGAGCGAAAGGGCTCGAACACAGATTGCACGCGTAAGACATATCAGTCGTGTGAGTCTCTACGTCTTCTTTTAGGTGATTCAATTTGATATGAGTTTTGGAACATATTCTGCAACTGATGGACTTGTGTTCGTACTCCTCAATTTCAACATTTTTTTTCCAAGTCGTACCGTATCCATTGCAGGAATGAGAACTGCTGCTTTCGGCCATATTTTTGAACAATATACCACAGGAACTCACGCCAGTTACAACTCAAAAGACTAACGATTAGTTTTGTTGTCGTTGTGGTTGACAATTTTCTGCACGTATATTTGCTTCCTTTGATTTGATGACGAGAGCAGTTTCATTGGTAGGTTGATTTTCTGTTAAACATAGATAGAAATTCATTTTTGCTATTGTACTTCGTCAAGTGCTTATACGATAACATATTCTAAAGTTGTCATAACAATAATATGATTCATAAAATGGAAACATCACTTTTAAAAAGCGAGAAAAATAGAAAAAGCTTGGATTAATAATATAGAGATTTCTCATACACGTTAAAAAAGTGTTACCTCAAATATAAGAATAAAAAATACTTTTAAGAAAATCTTTGTAAGGTTTTTCAAAATGCTTGTATTAGCCATTGGAATCAAGGCCTTTTTTTTCTCTTGCGCAAAATAGCAGTTCTAACACCGTTGATCTTTTTATTGTAAAATAAAATCTCATTTTTTCAAGTCACAAGTAATTCTATCATTTAAAGAAACACTTACCTATTGTTTATAGAGTTTGAGTCGTAAAATTGAATGGTTGGTACAGCCAAGAACTTCTTGCAATTTATTTTCCCTTTGGAACAATAAGCGTCCCTGGTATATTATCAAAGTTCAGAAATCGACTTTGAAACACTCCTCTCACGCTTCTGAAGTTTAACGAATGTATAATTTAAGAACAATATGTCGATAAATTTAATATAAAAATATATATTTTTTGTGGAGAAACCATGACCCCTTCGCTTCGATACTTGTATAAGTTATAGACTGAAATTTCGAACAGTGTCACTAATATTTTTAGCTGAAAAAAAGATAATTTTAATGACGTTTTGATGCATATTCTGATTTGCTCGTTGATGTGCCAATAGTTTAAGTGATATTTCTTGTTAACGATGGCCCAAGTCACGTACTACTTTTTGTGAGCATGAAACTAATCGAGTGTGAAAGTTTTTTTTTATACTAGTTTCGTCGGATCAAAAGATGTATTATATTTCTGTAAAGAGAAAAAAATTACAATCATTTTTCATCATAAAGCACAGATGAGTTAAGATGATTTTCCTGCAATTATAATTGTTTCCTTTCTTTTATTGTTCTTCCATTTTTCTACGCTTTCATTAAACATTTAATAAATGTCTGCCGTATCAGGATAGGTAGAATCTTGTGACATATTTTTTTCCTACTTGTAGATGAGCTAAAAAACTCTAGCAAATTGAATTACTTCAACTGCCTGTTTCTACTTACCTTGCTTAGGGAGCGATAAACTCTTAGATTAGAAGTGTATGCGCAAAATGTATCGTGTGTGCCGTGTACATTTATGCAAGAAAAATAATTACATACGAGAAAATCTACAAAAAATATCTCATTTTTGTCCCCAATTTTAATAAAAATAGTTTTTTTGAGACACACCCTTGAAACTAATATAAAAATAAACTTTAAAAATGTATCTATACATATCATCTATAAAGATACAATTTTAACACGTTAATCGCGGAAATAGGGTGTCACCCTCACTGAAACCCGTGTTCAAAATTTTTTCCTCATAGCACATGATATTATGAGTTAAGTGAGACTGGTTTCAAGGGTGAGCCTCAAAAAAAGCTTTTTTTATAAAAATGGGGGACAAAAACGGGATATTTTTTGTGGATTTGCTGATATATACAACATGATGTACGTATTAGTTATGTGCATACTTATTTTTTCATACAGAGTAATTTTTTTGTCTATTCTTTCAAAAAAAAACAAATAACCAAAAAAAAGAATTTGTTTTAAGTTGATATAAAAATTAAACTATCTGCCAAAAAAAGTTGTAATTTTATAATCTCTATAATGTACAACGTAAACATTTTGCTTTTTTTGCGGTAATATAAAAATTGTATAGATAAGACGTAGTACGGTCATTTTCTAAGGTAAAAAAAAATGATAGAAACAATGTAATAATAATTTTGTACTTTTTAAAAAGTATAGTAGATACTACTCACTAATGAAACTGTAAAATATGCGAATATTTGTGTTATTACATAAGAAGCGTCAATAACGAAGAACGCCTGAAGCACGTCACGTTTTACACGATCAGTTTACTAAATTTAACGTGTCACGTAAGGCATACACGCAAAACTCACATGAGCTATTTAATTTAATAAATGTAACTATTTTCTTTGCCACGGAGACACGCAAAGTCAGATGTAAATAAACTCGTGTGTAATTAGACTTTACATATAAATCAACAATTACCACTGGAGAATACAATACAGCGACGAAAAAAGTAATTTTGGCAATAAACCTACCACGTAGGCAAGAGAAAAAAAATAGTATAGGTGAGTATATACAACTGAAGCGGCTACAGAGCCACTCGTTCGCTCTGCCCGGGTTGTAATGGTGTACCACCTAACTTGGTAATATAAAATAGCTATCATTTGCAACTTCTTATGATAATAAATAACATACTAAAAAAGCGCATATGGTTATTGTGTTTTGTTTAAATTGAAATGGTTTTATCTGTAATGAATGAACAATATTTTACACGTCCAACAATGTAGATTTTTAAAACACATATTTTCGGGTTTTTTTTAATGCTAACATACACAGAAGTCAACCATTTAAACATCTCAAGAAGAAAAAAGAACGAAATGCTTTTCCTTGAAACAAAATTTGCAAAAAGGCAAATAATTTCTATTTCTCTCGAGCACCAATCAAACGTTGCCGTTTAAAATGAAAAATAAACACTGCAAGTCAAACACCCCTTATCAAGAAAGCGACTCTCTCAATCAAACCACCCCACAATCATCATCATCATCCTTCATTATACAATGGAATGTTTTCTTTGGCAGTCAAGCTCGGAAGGGGGGAGGGGGGGAATTCGCACCGATCAATAGGCGATCAACTCCTCGGGCAAGCATTTAGCCTAGCGATGAATCGACACGCGCAATTACCATACGCGCAGTGCTTCGATTAAACGTCCAGCGCGACCAAGACGAGATGGCCACGGGCGCGCGATGAACCCCAAACGTCAATAAACACACGAGCTCGTGCGTGAAAACGTTTGCTCCGAAAACAATGTATATCCCCCCCCCGCCGCTGTACACCCCGAGACCCAACCATCTTCTGTCTTAATACACGCCCGAGGAGCTCGCGCGAGCAAAGTCAAGTTTAAATGTTTACGCAAGCTTTCAAGATCGCGGGGTACAAGACCAAAGAGCGAGTCACTGCGGGCGATGATGAAGCTGCAACTATAAGAGAGACAGGGGTGGTGGTGATGCAAAAACACACGCGAAGAAGGCCAACGACGTCACGTCGGTCGCCTAGATGCATTCGCGGGGATAAGGAGGCCGGCCAAGAGAGCTTGCGAGTGACCCCGGGGCTGCGCCGATCCCGTGGAGAGGGCCAACATATTCGAGCGACACGTTAAGGAGATAAAAAAAAAAAAAAAAAAGGAAAAAAAAACAGTAGCAGCACTGCGGGGAGCCAAGAAAACCGAGGGAGGATGCAAGCTCAGCTTTCTCGCTCGAAGCTCTTTTTTTTCCCGCTGCGACTCTCGGACAGGAGGGAAAAGTGCATACGCGCCCTCGTTGTTGTTGTTGTTCTGGAATGGGTTATTGGGCATGTATATGTATATATACACATAGATGTACGCGACGACGATAAAAAGCAGCGCGTGGTCACGGGACGATTTACGCCTTGGGCTTATCTGCGGGAAGGCTGCCAAAATCGGAGACGCGGCGCACACGTCATGCGTCGTGCATATGCTCTCTTTTTTTCTGTGCCGGCGACAACGTAGCCCGGATATATTATATATACCTGTACAGCACATGACGAGCATCTTCTCTATTTACTGTCTTTGTAATGATATACTTTGTTGGGCCCGAGCTCGATGAGCTAAGCTTGCAAATGTGACTGTAATTGAGGGCGCTGCCAAGGGGTACGGAGAGAATTTTTATCATACAGCGGGCATATAGCTTTTACGTGTGTAGTTGAAGAGGATATACTTTAAAGGGAGGTGAATACTAGCTTTTTTTTTTTTTTTTTTTTATTAAGGTAAATGTCCCTATTATGACCACAAATTTCATCACACTTACATCTTTAATTTTTTTTTCTTAACTGTGAGCTTTAACAGTAGAAATTTTGGTATTAGCTGGTGCGCTATAAATTTACCATTATTATTCTAATTTTTAAATATGGTTCTTAGTTGTTAGATCAAAATGTACATAATTATGAAACGTTGTACCTATTGTTTCATACTATGTCCCTATTTATGAAACTTTAAAAAAAACGTAAATTGATTATAATATTTTAAGACAATTAAAGCTTTTTTCACTTTCATAACACTGTTTTATTTAACAAAAATAATTATATCGTTTATTTGTTTACTAGAAATATAAAAATTCCTTGTTGAAGTTTGGTACCATAATACGTACAGTTCAAAAGATAGGTTATGTACGACTTTGTCCCTATTTATGGAATTGTCTTTAAAATTGGTCATTTATTGTATGTAAAATGAAATTTTTCTTGTGAATTCATAAAGATCTATAAAATATACAACTACCACAATTTTTTTATCAAGTAAATTATAAAATAAGTACATGAATTTTTATGCTCCATGAATAGGGACACGTTCCACGAATAGGAACATTTGAGTTGTAGGTTTTTGTATGACAATGCAACAAAACAGGGGAAGTGTGGATAAAAATTTTGGCGTTTTTGAGGAGATAGCTGTAAACTAAGAAAACCAGATCATCAAGCAGTGATATTTGTTATTTTGAACCGATTGTCGTCTTGACAACTAATGAAATTGATGTTTGTTCAGTTATCGATTGAAAAAAAAAAAAAGTTTTAAGACTGTGTTTTTTATACTTGACCATCACTTGAAATATAAATAAAAATATTAATAATTGTAATCAGCACAAATTTTTAATAAATTTTACTAGTGAAAATAGCACTTTGAAATATCAAAATCATCCATCCGTA